ACCTATATGCCTATGGCATTGGCAAGGGTAATAAATGGCAGACAGACAACAGTAATACTTTGCCTATGCAAAGCATGAGTAAGACCAAGAACTTGTGACTTGTTCCCGTGTGTTGGTTTTATAGTTGGTTTGATTTAGTGGTAAGGAATTAATTATTTGGCAATTAGTACTTCCATGAAAAATTACCAATATTTTGTTTCAATTTGAGCATGCTCAATGGTAGTCTGGTGCAGCAAAACCCCTTTTTCGGCACATGGCATAAAGTCACTAATATGGTGGAGTACCTATCACAAACACATTTAAGTACAGCTCTTGCAAACAAATAATCTTTACATAGTTAAGGAATTAATAGACAAACAGACAATTTTGGTTCGTGTGGGTGGTTAGGTCTGCCCTGGTAATTTATGATGTGGGCATATATAAATAAGGTCAATGATATGCTTATGATCATTGTTACCTGGCAGCCATTTTGGACATGTAGCTTGCACTGTTGTCAATGCAGCAAGAGGCAAAAGCAGTTGGAGAGGTATTATTTCCTCAAAATTATCTATTGTCAAAAATGGATAATTGTGCTAATTTTTATTTATTTTTGAATGCATAAAAAATAACATAAAGGTTGGAGCCTTTTATTGCATGTATTTGGATGATATTCTATGCTGTATAGTTCAAAAGGGTCACTGGGTGATAATAAATATCATTATAGGAGTACCGCCCATATCAAAAGTACAAGGTCATGTAAAGCCTACTAAAACGACGGCTAGTGATAAAGTCCACCAAATATTAAAAGAAAATGCACAATTAAAGGAGGAAAAACAGATTATTACTAGTGAGTATATGTACATAGATCAGAGAATATTCTATTAATTATATTAATGTAGAGCATTATGAGAAATTGAAAATCAAAGTTGCTGATATAACTGAATTAATGGAAGAGAAAGAGAAACAATACCTAAAAGAGAAACAGATCTTTATTGGTTAGTTAAATTATGCACAAAGCATGTATTAGATGAGAGGATGTTTTGTTTATTGTGTATAGATGATGTCAAAAATCTCAAAATTAAAATTTCTGAGAGAGACAAAATTATAGCTAAATTGACTTCACAAGTAGAGGAACAATCACAGAATGAGAAACAGACCATTACTGGTTAGTGTATTATCATAGTAAATGGTATCAAGCAATGATATTTTTTATCAATTTGTAGACCTTAGAATTGAGTTGTCTGATAAGGATTTTTATATAACCAAACTAGTGAAGGAAAAAGAAGAGAAAGTCCTGAAGCAATCTAAAAGTACTAGTTCTATTGGATTGCAATTTAATTATCTGATTCCTTCAATGAGTAAGATTATGTAACTGACTTTTATACTGGTATGATAATATGTCTGTGTTGTTTCAGATTCACTAGACTCTAGTGTCATTATAGCTGGACAGAAGCTCTTTACCCTGCAAGGAGACAGGTCTCACTCATTCCAGTGGGAGAAATATGGATTCAGATTAGTGTGTCCTCAAGGAGCAGTGTCCAAGGATACTGAAGTAGCTGTTACTGCACTGGCTGGTGGTAATTTCAAGGTACCCAAAGGTACTGTGCTAGTG